CCCACCAAGCCACGCCCACAGAACCGGTAGTAAAAAAAATTGAATCCCACCACTGCCTCCAAACCAATGTCTACAACCAATAACTCCGACTCTCTGAATGTGGTTACTCAGCCAGCGGAGGACTCACCCTTTTCCAGTACCGTCCAAACCAAATCCCCTCAATTTTATCAAACAGAAAATTATCACTGAAACAATTGAAGAATTTATTTCTTGTTTTTGGCAGAACTAATCTTCCAACAGGTGTTCAATGGAAGTTATAAATAAGTACCCAAATCTGTAGGAAAACTAGGATAGACATTGCTAAAAAGAAAGGGGAGAGGATGGAAATAATCTTCTAATGGTCAAAATTTATACCTGGGGAGAAAATCAGAAATAAAAGATTTGCAGTTACTTCTGATCTCTCAAAGCATTTGGAACTTTGTTCCCCTGACTCATTACTACAGATTGCTATATAGGTGGTCCTCGATTTACAACTACAATCAAGTCCAACATTTCCATTTCTAAGCAAGACAGCTATTAAGTGAGTTCTGTCCCATTTTACGACCTTTCTTGACACAGTTGTTAACTGAATCACTGTGTTCTGATCTAGGCTTCTTTGGAAAGCATAAAACACAATCTTAGTTCCGGCAAAACCTCTTTTATTTCCACAGCTGTGAATTACGTTCATTCACAGCCTGCAAGGCTTCATGAACAGTCTTTCAGGGGAATGTTGATAAACACTCACCTTATCACACTTGGAATGCTGCCAGAGAACTCATTGCCAAATGCAGGGCAAGGCCAGACTTGACACAGAGTCAAACAGAACTTTTCACCACTTGAATCAACCAGATGAACTAATTGCTTCCTGCAAAGGCTCACGTCCCATTCGCTCCTCTTTTATGTACTGTGGGAGGGGCCAATCATCTTACTCCTGAGCCGATCCTGCTTTCTCAATTGTTCTTGTCTTCGGGTAGCTCTGCGCATGCGCAGGCTGGGAACCGGTTCCAGAAACTCCCCCCGTCTCACTGCTGTCTGAGTCTGAAGGCAGCTGATGACTGCCAGCCTGCCCTGGCCCCATCTCTGTCTCTGATGCAGAGCCCTCGTCCGAGCCCTCCCCAGCCTCCAAGACTGGCCCAGGTTCCTCCCCAACCTCTTCACTGCTGTCCGACTCTGCTGCCAGCTTCGTCAGTTGCCGACGGGCCACAACACAACTGTTAAATTAGTAACATGGTTGTTAAGTGAGTCTGGCTTTGCCATTGACTTTGCTTGTCAGAAGGTTGCAAAAGTTGATGGCATGACCCAAGGCATTGCAACCGTCATAAATTTGAACCAGTTGCCAAGCATCTGAATTTTGATCATGTGACCACGGTGATGCTGCAACAGTTGTAAGTGTGAAAAGGGGGTCATAAGTCACATTTTCCAGTGCCGTTGTAACTTTGAACGGTCACTCAACGAATGGTTGTAAATTGAGGACTACCTGTAACATTTGTTTTTCACCTCTTTTTTTTTTACATTTTTATAAATCTGGAATAGATGGCGAAGGCGCCATTGATAGAAAACTGAGACCAACCAATGGAGGTTGAGTCCAGGGCACAATCCTGAATTTTCATGAGTCGAACCATTTCCAAGTGAACAGGACAGAGCAGATAACTAGGTGGAGATTGATAACAGCAACTGTCTCATTTTTAAAAAAAATTCTCTTGTGTTTTATCTAATCTGTTATCCTGTTTGGTCACTTTGATAAGTAGAGAATCAAAAGGTGACTCATAGCATCTTTCCTGACTAACACAAAATGTGGGTTTTTAAAAAACAAAACAAAAAAAGCACAATCTTTGTTGCCTATTCATTTTATCTTATCTGTCTGCCTGTCTGTCTTATCTGTCTGCCTGTCTGTCTTTATATCTATCTATCTATCTATCTATCTATCTATCTATCTATCTATCTAT